CTTGGGAGCAGACGGGGTGCCGGTACCGACAGTGCCTGGTTTTGTTCCCCGCAGGGCTTACACCTACGCGGGCCTGGCGTACGGAGCAGAGTGCTACTGCGGGAACAAGCTCCCAGCGACCGCCTCGAAGCCCGAGGAGTGCAACAGCGAGTGCAAGGGGGAAAAGGGCTCCGTCTGCGGAGGGGTGAACCGGCTCTCTGTCTACAGGGTGGAGGAGCTGCGGGCAGGAGCGAGGCGACGTAAGTGGGTGTGCGACCGGAGAGAGGAGGCTGCTGTCCCCAGGAGCGACGCTCGCCCCGTGGGGGCGATGCCACGGCCGGGCGGAGCGCGTGGGCTGTCCCCGCTGCTCCTCTCACTCCGTTTGTCACCAGAGTTTGAAACGGCAAAGGACAAAGGTGCCCGTGGGGCACGGCGTCCATTTGCTGCTGGTCCAGTCCCTGGCTCCCTCCCAAAATAGCAGCGCTGCTCACCGCCTCCGAGCGGCGAGGCGCGCCTGGTGCGGCTGGCCCAAAAAAACAGGGAAGAAACAAAATACAGCGCAGAGCAATTGCAACAGCAGCAGAACTTTAGCATCCATTGCGGAGGGACAAACCCACATGCGTTTAAGAAACAACCCTGGAAGCGGGTGCCTCATAGCGGCAGGGCAGAACAGCACTCGTATCAATGCCACCCTAAGCTCAGAAGTGATCCTAAACAAAGTAATTGCCATGTGACGGCAGCAGGAGAACAAGTAGAGGCCAGAGAGGGAGGCACACCAGTCTCTCTCCGAAGTGAGAGAAATGAGACCACAGAGTTTTGCTCTTCCAAGGACTTCTGCTCTCGCAGCAGTTGGGATTTTTGTTTCTTCTTTAGATGACAACACTTACTCTACTTGTCATTCAGTTAGCTACCACGGGAGATACAATAGATAAACCTTTGGGCCAACACGAAGCACACATAATATCTAAGCAGCTGAGCAGTCTGCTTTTGGCAAGCTCACAAGACCTTAACGGATGTTATTTGCTGAGAAGCAGCACTAAGACCTTAGGTTGTGCCAGTATTGATGGCACTTCATTTCTTCTTAAAGACAAGTCAAGGTTTGTACAATACTCCACCCAGCTACATATAAATTATATATCAAAGGTACACAGAGCTAAATTGCCAGTGTCAGGCTGACAGGCACATTGGCAGCTTTCCCGGGACGTGCATCACTGTTTAAATCTTCAGCATAAAATATATATACATATTTCACAGGAAAAGGCGGCATTTATTTCTTTCTTAAGTATTAATGAATTAGTCATCAAATTAGTCTAGCCTGGAGCTAGACTTGTATTTTGTTTGCCCTTAGTAATACCTGATATTTGACTGTTTGAAGAATCCCACTGACACAAGCTAGCTGAGGGCCCAACAGAAGTATTAATCACGATGAACAAGTATATTGGAAAGTAACTCTGAAACGGTAACGGCATCCATGATTTACACCGTGCAATATAGAGAACAGACCTTGCATAAGGCTTCTTACGCAGAGCAGATCCAGTGGCATCTCCATTTAAGCCTTCCTAGACGTGGGGTTTGCTGGCTCCCCTCTCCGCTCCTCGCCTCCCCCTTCCCACCCTGGCCCCCCGGCACCATGAGCCGCGCAGCTCCTGCACCGCAGGGCTCGTGCCCCCACGCCACGTTTAATGCAATGAAGCTCAAAGTCTGCAGCTATTGCAGCCCGAGCATCGCTGTGGCACAGAGTGCCGTTCTCCTCGGTGCAGGATTCAGCCATCCGTGCCCAGAAAGCAGGCAGACAACGTAAATACAGCACATTTCCAGTGCGATCCGTGGGTTCTCTGCAAACCCTGCTCCCTCCCGAGTGCCGGTGTGGGCAGCCCAAGCTTTCTTCCTGACCTGCTGAGACAACTCTAAGCATGTTCATAAACATTTTGTTTCAGGACTTAAATACTAGTGTGAGATTTAGTAGGAAGTCTTTGAAGAGCATCCTGAGAAGCCAAAAAACTTCTGTTCCTTTCTTCTTTGGTGCTGTGCTTGCAGTGATCTGGTCCCAGGGAGACTCCCGTTTCCCCCCAACTTGCACTGAGTTATTTTATTTTCACATCTCCTGAGTGATCCGAAAGATGTAGCATTGCTTCTAGTAACTGGTTTGAACAGTTGTTAGAACAATATTTAAGCGGCTTCTCCTTAGATTGCTCTTGGCTCATGCTGGAGAATCTGGGACGTTCTGCCAGGAAATTCATGCAGAACCCAATTTTTCCTTCAAAACTGCACTGCATCTCTCCTGTCATCCAACACACTTCCCCCATCAGTTCTGGTGAGTACTGTTTAAGGTATCCAGCGGGTGTGGACCAGGACTCAGAAGACCCAAATTCATTCCCAGCTCCACCTTTCTCCCTGTTGAGTCATGCTAGGCAAATTCTGTCAATAGAGAGTTAGTGCACAGTGATGAAGTAAACGCATCTTCTACCATTGTAAAGCCCACAAAATCCCAAGGATTACAGAAGCATCATACAACATGCAGACTTTTTTCTTTTTCTAACCAGCCACACAATGTTATTTTCTTCATTACCATCAGTTCATCTGTGCAAATGCATGGCCTCACCTGGGGTAGTGAGTGTCCGTGACAGCTTTGGGTTTCTGTTTGGTTCTGTCAGGGGACATTTCTCTCTTAAGCAGGAGGGAAAACTGTATTGCTGCTTGTAACAAGTAGTTGGGCCCAATCCTGACTTCAATCACAGTGATGCAAAAAACGGAGCAAGTCTGCCAAACACTGTGGCATTTATACAGGAGCAGGTGAGATCAGAGGCTGATGCTCCAGACTTGAAGAAAGCTGTTCTCCCCGAACAGCTCACAAAAGCCTAGTTTAGATTTTGAAGGCTGCAGCAAACTCCCTTGCCCTGAAAAGAAGCGAGTGGGAAGAGGAGAGGGATAGCTCAGCAACTGAGCAGATGAGCAGGAAGGTGGGGCCCCGTGGGGGCTTTCAGGATTCATTTAAATTCCTTTCCTTTCCTGGTGCAGATCATGGGAAGCTTTGTAGATTTTTATCGGGGCTTTTAAGTCTTTCAGGGGAAACCATGTCTTCAGAAGAAAACTGGGACTTGCAAACAATAGCAATGCCCTCCACTGGTGGAATTTAATTTGAACTCTTTGCTGCAGCCCTACTTTCAGCGGTTAGTACAAAGCTAAAGGCATGCGCTCCTTTCAATACCACAGGATTTGCAACACATTTTTCTAGCGTATATCATGGTTTCTCTTATTTCTACAGCATTTGGAATATAAAATTTATTTTATTATTTTTAGCTTCTGAACCTAATATTGTTCTTTGTGAAAGAGGCAGGATACTACGGACATTGTTTTCTCAAGAGAAACCTATTTCATATCCCTGCAGGGAGGAATGTTATCTATCGAGGATGTTTTAGAGCTCCAGAAAATTTAACAGACACCTTTCCAGCCTCTTTGATACAGCCCAATTTGACGGTGGAGATGTGCTCTGAATTTTGCTCCAAGAAAGTAAGAACAGTTCTCATTTCACATCCTTTCTTCTTTTTTGTTATTTTAAATTTTAATCTACTAAGGGAACAGCAGAGATTAGTGCCTTAGAGCCTTGAATTTGTAAATGAGTTTCTAAAGGGCAAAATTCATCAGAGTAAATCCCCAGTGATGCATCTGGTCCAGCCGCTCTCTCAAGTGGGGAAGGCGGGAGGGAAAGCCATCAGAGCGATGCCACTAAATATGATGCACAGAAAAGCCATTCTAAGTGACGAGTATCGACCCCGAGGAAATCGATACCATGTCCCTGCCACGTTTGCCCCTGCCGCGTTCAAGCCGAGCCCAGAGCCAGATCTGACCCCGGGGGAGGTCTCGGTGGATGCAGCTCGTGGGGAGACACCTGCCAGAGGGTGGATGCGGGCTGGCAGCACCCAAAACGCGGCTCCAGTGCCCTCCGGGGAGCCGGCCCCCACTCAGCTCTCGGGGAGCCACGCGTGGGCAGGGCAGGGAGACGCGAGGCCCAGCGCCCTCCGCTTCGTGCAGCCCTGCGTGCTCCCCTCCACGGCCGTCCTTTCGGCCGCAGGCTCCTCGGCAGCGCAGCAGCAGGCATGGCCGTAGCCAACAAGAGGATTTAAGGCTGAGGTATCTACGCACAATTTTTATACCAGTGTGTAACTGTTGGCTAGGAGCATGATACAATCTTAAATATATAAAAAAAAAAGATGCCAGAGAAAAGTTTTAGCAGATAAGCACAATGAAATCAGGTGGACTTCCCTGGTACTTTTATACAAATGGGTCTCTTTCCATACCAGAAGAATTTATACCACTTTCACTATAACCTATGTAACTTAAATGTAATTTATGTTAATTCAAAATGGAATCATGGTAGAACTTCATGCCGATATATAAGACTGAAAGAAAGCAATGAATAAAGTCGGTTGTGTGCTTATTGGCTTTTGGGCAGAAGGTGAGAAGGGACGTGCTAACAGCTGCTGTCCTTGGGCACACGCTTGGCCCGAAGCATCACCTTCGCTCATCCTCACCCTTACCACAGAGTAAGACCGTGGATTTAAGAACTGACGGAGTCTGACTCTGATGGACTCGGGCATCCTCACAGGAGGGGACGTTTGGCGCAGGGCACCCTCTGCTTTAGGGGCTGTTGCTGCGGTTGGTTCCCTTCCCTTCCTCCCCACTCCGATGGGGCTTATTTTTCTGTACAGAGGAGGGTTCACTGCGTGGTCAGATTTAGCCTGCTGCCACATACAGCCTCATGCACTAAACTGAACGTTCAATTACTTTGTCTTCTAGCATCACAAAATTGATTAAAACTATTAAGGCATGAACAACAAATCTTCTTAATTACTAGGCAGAGTGGGAAAGCTTTTCCCAGTCAACATAGCTTCTATACCAGCTCATCAGTGTTTTAAGAATGCATCATGGAATTAACTTTGTGCAGCAAATTGCAGTGAATCACCCATATACCCTGTATATAGTACTTTACAAACATGCATACAAACACACCTTCACATCCTCCATGCATATAAATGTTCAGTAAAGCAGGACTCCATGAGCAATTCTTTCCAAGCTCTGCCATTAATCTGTTGTTTAATGGTGGCAAAAAAAATCTTGATCGTTCTGTGTCAGTTTACCCACATGTAACATCCTTGTATTAATATTTATTGATGAAGTGTAATTAATTATTGCTTCTGTATCTGGGAGAATGATATGAAATATCTGGAGAAGTTGTTTTCAGATGTGCTCAAACACGAGGTCAATGTTTTTAAGCAGAGTCATGCCATTCTGGTTTTGGGAGATGACTTGTCTAAGTAAGTAGATTTTCAGAAGTGTAGTTCCTTCAAGGTTTTCTGGCTATGCAGCCAAAAAGTGGAAGCATCTGAAATTACTGGTGACTGAGAAGGCTAGGAAGAAGACCACAACCAAAATGTGCCGCATTAGCGTGACATTTGAACAGGACTAGGATAGAAGGGAGTAGCAGGATGGAGGAAACTGTCCATCTCTGCAGAACAGCTAGCGCCAGAGTTACAGTCAATGCACATTTGCGTGATGAAGCTTGTGCGAGAAAGCCGTCAGCAAACCACATATTCTAAAGGATTATCTAAACAGACTTTTCTGCACAGAGGACATGGAGAGGACTGCAGAAGTGGTAACGTTAAGAGGAAAAGGTACTGAAGGCAGGTGAGGAAAGGGTTTGTTACCTCTCATTTATTCCTTCCCTAAGATGGTGCAGGTAACAACTTGCTTATCCTTCCCCCCCACCTCCTTCAGCTCTGCTGGGCACCATGCTACCCTTTGGAAAGTGACTATTAGAGAACATTTGCCTACAAAAAGACTGGCGAGGTCTCGCTCCACTTAAGAAGCAGCAATTGCATATCCACAAGTCCAATTGTTACACATCGATTACCAAAACAAGTCCTATTAAGACATACAAACATTTGTCCCAACTTTGGTTCCTTTCCTTTCAAAATAAGATAGAAAACTCCTCGCTGATAGCAACATACTCAGCCCTCCAGAAATCAGGAGGGCCCTGTCACTTTAGTCAGCCTGCTATGCTGAAAGGAATTACCCAGCAATTTCTGTGTACCCTGAAAAAGCTCGTGGGCTTTTGAAAGGAACTATTTGGATGCTTAAAGTTAAACATATGAATAAGTCTTTTGCTCTTTGGGACTTGGAAGAAAAGCAAATTGAGGCATACCATATTTAGTTGTTAGTCTTGCAAATTGCTTTGTGCAGCTGAAATGGTAGCTCCAGCCCTTGGAAGCATATGAGATTATGAATTTGAGGTAACAACTTCAGATGAAACCTGCTAAATGCCCTTAATTATCAATTCCTTCCTAATTAACAGTGATGACATGGCTTAATAGCAAGCCATTATCACCCCACAACATAGATCCACGAATGGGTTTCTGTGCTAGGTCCCTTGGCCAGAAGCCATAATTTTCATATATGCTCTTTTATAAGCCAACCTGCATACTAAATGAGCCATCTCCATTTGAATTTATATTTTTAAATAAACAGTCCTTTTAACACTCAGCTGCTGCAGGCGGTTATATATGATGATACAAACAAAATCTGGAAGAACACTTGTAAGTATTGAGGAGAGAACCCCAGTATCTCAGTGCATCCAAAAGACATGCCAGCAAGTTTGCACACTTGAACACTACTAGATCTAAGCTGCTTTTTCTTTTCTTTATACAGCAATATACAGAAGACAGCAATCTTCTAATTTCAAAACCAGACCTGCTGTTTTGGATTCTAGATGTAGCTACATGCCATTATCTACCCGTAAACAAAAGACTCCTGGGATTTCGATCCAAATCCCATTGTAGAATTCATACAGAGTGTTTCCATACCTTCATTTAGAGATTTTTTTTAAACACAATAAACCAAAGATAAGTAGGCCAGAACCTCAACTGGCGCAGATAACGACACCCTCGCTGACTTTATTGCAGCAGTGAGAGTAGTATTTCAAATCAGGGTCACACTGGGTATAACAGTGCACCGAGGAATTGTCCCCTGGCCTCAGATCACAGTGTAAAACAAGGGAGTGATTTGCTTTATGGTATTTATTCTTTGCTCTTAGAATATCCAGTTCAATGCAAACTTGAAGAATGACTTCCAGGTTTGTTGCAAAATGAACATGCCCATCTTTAAGTAAACCAAACCCATCATTTTTACTTGGGAGACAAATTTCTTTCTGTGATTAGCCCCCCCATCTCTTTTTGGTAGATTGAGAGAAAAATTTTAACTGCGTCAGATAGGAGAGTTAGTATAGGAAGTTGGAAAAGAAAGGAATTGAGCAGTACTCTACTCAGAGTAGAACCAGATAGGTGTATTTTTAATCTACTTATAATTCTTAATTGGGATACAATCTAATAACAAACAACCAGTGACTGAATCATCACATCATGTGTGTTGCTACTGGAGAACGACTGCTTTCCTTACAGCACTTAAACTACCTGTTGAGGCTTCATCTAGCAAATTCTTACGTAAATAGTTCCATTGACATCAACTCTCACTGAATTACAGCTTGCAGGATGGACACCTGCATGCTCTAAAGCTCAATCCAGAAAAATGCATATTCATAGACTCACAGATTTCTCTGGCAATACGCTTGTGTTTAACTGAAGCATCGCAGACTTGTGTGCGCCAAGCTTGAGGACTAGTCCTGCACTTAAGTTACACGGTTGCTTAAAGCCATAACCACAGCTTGGGGCTTACATAAATACACAGGTGAGCAAAGTGGATGGCTTGTAGTTTTGATTAAATACTGATGGCAAGTCAAGACTGAATACGTTACTTTGCAATCACGCTGTGCACTGCATCAGGTGGATGCACAGTCCAAGTCGTCAGCCCGCTGATCACAGCGCCTTGCACGGACGCTGTGGATCCTGGTGCGACTCCCAGAACTACTGTCGTGCTTCTTCCAGCGCGTGTGCTGCCATCACTGAAACTTTGAAACTTTCACATGTGAAACCCACTCCCTGCTTCTCCCCTGCCCCCAGCCACTTGCTGCCGAGCAGCAGGAAGGCTGCACAGGCACAGGGCAGCCCGGCCCCCCCCGCCTCCCTAAGGGCCTGGCACCCCGCACCTCCGCTACCCGGAACCACACGTAGAGCGGCCGCAGAACAGCACCGTACCGAGCAGTGCCTCTGCAGACACAGGGGTATGCAGCAGCGTTTGCTTAGGTCTCTTCACAAAACCTCCAGCCTTCCAGAAAAGTCGATCGCTTGCAGGTGCCACTTGGCGTGAGGTACAAGGTACATTTTTATTCTAGGCTGTGTTTGATGGCCGGGACACTTACTAATTTCTCAAACTGAGAAACACCGCTTCATTGTAAAGGAAAAAATTCTGTTTGCAGGCAGAAACAGAACTATTTTGCCCTTGGATCAAATCTGTAAATAGTTTTTGACAACGTCATATCTCATTCGCTAAGCAAATGTTGGCTGTTTGGGCACAGATGGCACATGTGTTGCATTTGACTCCTTATCAGAGGATGAACACGTGGGGAAGAGCGAGAGATAAGCTGCTTGGCAGTCCTGTCATGCACTCCCAGACTCCAAAATACTTTTAAAAGGCAAAAAGCGTTGATACGGAATAGGTGGAATTGAATGCCCTGCGCTCAAATAACCCCGAGCGTCCCTTGGCCATTGTGCGGCTGCACCGAGCCCATCCCTGCACGCCAAAGCACCCCCGCGCCGCTCAGCAACCCATCGGGGGACTTCGGAAAGCCAAGGAAAAACAACCCCAGTCCTCCTGGTCAAGAGGAGAACGACTGAACTTTAGGGCCCGTTTCAGGAAAGGACTAAGCGTGCTTTGCCAACTGAGCACATAAGCAACTGCTAATTTTTTCAGCAAATAATTAGCACGTTTCCCTCAAACTTCTCTTAATTCTCGTCAATATTAGCCCAGCCTCGCGGCTCTGCCACCACACAGCAACGCTGCTTTGCAGCCTGTTGCCTGTTTTGCGTATGGCCGGTGCACCAAAACCTGAATTACTTTTCATCAAATCTACTGAGAAGTATCTTACAGCCAGAAATTTTCCTTGGGAATTGTTTCCTTGCAATGAACATTACCTATAATTTTCTTGTAGCTGCACATTTTACACTTTGCTGAGATACCTGTCATTTGCAGCAGTCAGTCTGGATTTCACGTGAGGTTTCCCTATCTAGAAGCAAAGTAACATACCATAAAAGAAGAGGTGCCCGTGCCATGCCCGAGGATAGCGCAGGAGCCAGCGGAGCCAACCCTGCGTGCGCAGCGGGCAGAGCCGTGCGTGCCCTTCGGGTGCTCCCGGCACCCATACGCTGGCTGCGCTCAGGCACCCCGCGTCCCCCTCCGCCTGTGCTGGTGCAGCCCCACGTTCGCCATCAGCGCAGTCCTGCTGAGTAGATGTACCAAAAATTACCTGGTATCACATTTCTAAATAGTTTTTCAAAGAATATACACAGTAGCTCTCAAACTCTGTATCAGCCCCTCTATGCACATTCATTTTTTGCAAACTGTGAAGAAGTCAGACTAAGATGCACACTTTTTTTATGGCTTGACTTTTTTCTTTCTATTTTTAAACATCGTTGCAGCAGTTAGTGGGTCTAAGTTTCCTTCTTCACTTAAATTCTTTAAGTTTAAGGGCAAGTTTCCTCCACACAAACTCTAGTAAAATCAACTGAGTAAGATAAACCTTTTAACAGCTGACTCCTCAGTTTGGGGGAATATAAATGGAGGCTTAAAAGATGATCCAATTCAAAATGCTCATTTTGGGGGTAAATAAGAACAACTTTTCCCACACTGATGTTTTGCAGGTGGAATTATGTACTAGGTGCTGCAGGAATATTATAAAATTATTTTTATGAATAATGAAAAAACCCAGAATATTGTGAATTTTCAAGCTTTACAAGGCTTGTGTCTGAAAACCAATTTTTAAGAAATTGCCATATGAAAGACAGTAGTAGTATAAGAAGCATGAGCTTTACAGTGATATATATCAAACACTGCTTTGATCTTGACAGTGGCCTTGTGAAGATTTATTTTTCTTTGTATAGCAGCAGCATTCCCCGCAGGCTGTTGGTGCCGTGGCATTTACGCACTGATCTATTTTCTCTCTTTCGTAGGAGTTTCCCTTGGCAGTCATCCGAGGGCAGGAGTGCTACTGCGGCTATCCCACCGGGCGCTTCTCGCTGCGCGAGGGCGCGGATGGGCTGCTCTGCAGCGGGATGCACAACACCAGCCGCGCCGCCGAGGGAAAATACTGCTTGGTCTATCAGACACCAGTGCAAGGTACGAGCTCCAGCCTCGCCGTGCCAGGGCCAGAGCCACCGCGGCTGGAAATAGCCCCTCACCACTTCTGCAGGGGGTAACAGCGATCTAGTTTACAGCAGGCTTAGCCACAATGGCTGGTATCACCTACAGGCAGGCATTTAGGAAACAGCCCCTATCTAAATCCCCCCCTTGCAATTGCGCTCATAAATACACATCTTTCCATTCTCTCATTAAGCAGCACAGCCTCCCCCCATCCTGGAAAAATGTAATCATTTTGCAGATGGAGAGAACAAGGCAGAGCCTGGGAAGGCACGCCCCGAGCCATGCGGCACCCCGGGCTGCCGCGGGCGAGGACCCCGTACTCTGGTTCCAGTCCTGCTCATTAAACACACACCTGGCCCCCATGTTATGCAGCCATCGAGGCAGCTCTGCAGACTCTAATTTTGGTCTACCCATCTTCCTCTAAAATATTAATCTGCATACATGTTTCAAAGCCGGAAGATAAAGCAGAGTAAGGCTCCAATCCAGTAAACCATTTAGGTGGCACCCGCAACTTTATCCATGCAATGATTTGCACCGAGTTCAGCGAAACGTCTCACAAGCTTAAAATTAAAGAAATTAAGTGCTTTTCTGGATTGGTGCTGGGCTTTTTTTAACCCAACACCCTCTTTTATTTTTTTTTCCTCCATCTCCCAGTTCGGAGGTAGACTGCAGACACCAGCACATGAAAAGATCATGCAAGAAGAACGCTTGCTTTCATGAAATTGCTAGTACTTCCCACATCTGTGTAGATCAGTAGTAGCAGAAGACAGCCTCCCCTGGACCGTGCTGGCTCTTTCTAGCCGTGGCTTCATCTAGAGGCTGCTTTGAAGAATGAAGAGAGTAATTCCTAATTAATTCCTGGCTTCTTGTTGAATCATCACAGAGGGTCAAGACTGGTTCTCGTCCTATCCTTGCTTTTATTGGCACGCTAAGAAATGAGGTTAGGATTTACAAAAGCATGTATGGAAACATGGTGTGTAGCCCCCACAGGAGATTAACGCAACGTGGGCTTGTCACTGCCTTGGGCCCTTCGGAGAGGAATGACAGCCTAGAGGTTTAACTGAATGCCAGCTCCTTGCAGTAGGAGGGGTTTCTCCTGCGTTATAAAACTCACAATTTCCAGGTGTAATGGCACATTTAGGGTTTCATTGAAGAGCCAACCTGCCAGGCAAATAGCTGTTAACAAACAGGCATCAAGGGGCTTTTATCACAACTTGCTGGCAAGCACAATGGTTTGCCGCAGCTCCATCAAAAAAGCATTGCCTAACACAAAACCAGAAAAAAAAACCTCTTCTGAGGATAATCTCTTTGGCCTCTTATGGCTGAATTAATTTTGGGAAGTAGCTGACTCACAACTGGACTCAAATTGATATCCTATATTCGTAAGAGAGAGAAGAAAGAAGCAATAAACCCTGTAATCAAGAGCTGTCAGTGGAATTATTAAAAAGCCACAATGCTAACAATGAAATATCTTCTGTACTCGCAGACACCCGCTGCACGGACAGGAAATTCTTAACCACCAAATCCAAAGTGTTCGTTGCTTTGTCGAGCTTTCCTGGGGCTGGGAATACGTGGGCTCGCCATTTGATAGAGCATGCCACAGGATACTACACGGGAAGCTATTACTTCGACGGAGCCCTCTATAACAAAGGTACCACACCTAGCGGGACGGGACGCACAAAGCCCTTCCGAGGCACAAAGCTTTACTTACTTGCTGTGGCACCCTTCTGCTTTGAGCCCGCAAAGGCTGGCACTGTCAGCACGTTTGGTAAAATTTAAACACGTGCCTGGAACAAGCGGTCTCACGTGGCGCAGGCAGCAGCAGGGACTGCTCCAGCAGTGCGCTAAGCCTGACAGGCAGCTAGTTTCACAGACAACAGCCAGGCTCTCGATTTGCAAAATTTGCATGTCGCCTGCATTGGTGCTGCTGTGCACACGCACATGTGCAGCTCCCATCTAAAGACTGGTCCAAAAGACCAGCTGACTAAAAAAATTTTACTAAACTCTGAGGGTAAGACCCTTCAGTAGCACGTGAAACACAAGGGCTGAATTTTTAAGTGTTACTAATTATTCTGGGGGACAGTATCCTGAGGGGGCACGGTATTTAGGAAGCGGCAAGCACTGGCCCTGTGAAAAAGAGCCCTTTTGCAGGGAGGTGCCGTTGACGTCCTCCCCAGCGGAGGAAAGCCTGGCTCCCAGTGCCCGCCCCGCTCAGCGGCCGGGGCTCAGCCAGGGACGGGGTCCTCCTTACGGCAGGCGTGGAGAAGCACACAAGAAGAGGGTTCCCAACCAAATAAAGCCAATAAGCCTTGCAGGTCAGTGGCAGGCCAGGAATAAAATTCAGCCCTGGTCCCAGGTCCTGGGTTTAACTGGCTGGTACTTTCACAACAGTTTTACGCCACTGTAGGGAATGATTTACGAATGATGCACGAAAAGGCACAGACATATAATGAAGTGAAAAAGCCAACGACCCTGTCTTGTAAAACAGGTTTTAAAGGAGAAAAAGACCACTGGAGAAGTAGAAGGACCATCTGTGTGAAAACACATGAAAGTGGCAAGACGGAGATTGAAATGTTCGACTCGGCGATCCTGTTGATACGGAACCCGTACAAGTCGCTGATGGCGGAGTTCAACAGGAAATACGCCGGGCACCTGGGGTACGCCACCGACCGCAACTGGAAGAGCAAAGGTAACGCACCGCCCCGAGGCAGGCCGGGGGTGCCCGCTGCCGCTTCGGTCGCACTTTGAAACTTATCTTCTTGGCATGCTGGGAGGGGGGTAACGCACTGGGACATGAGCGAGCACTGCAGACAAATTCAGTGGGACTTGAGTCCCACCGCAGCCGAGATCAGTCCCAAAAGCACTCAGACCTGCACTGTGGGAGTGGTTGTGCTCTTGCCGTACATCCACCACCATGGAGAGGAGGGTAGCGCAGCACCGATGCTGTGGCCACAGGGTGCAGCAACATTGCTGCCATTGTACTGTTTGGCAGAGAAAACATGTCCAGGTACAGCACCCCTGCGTACAGCCCATTTGCCAAGCTATATGAGGTGAAGAAAATTTGCCCCTGCAGCATGTAATAACCGTGAGAAATCTAATTTAAGATTTGGAGGATTCAATGGAGCATGACATTTCCTGAAGGAAATTTTACAGCACTGCTCAGGTGCTACTGCACTGCAGATAAATAAGGATAATAGCAATGAGGGAACTTGAGATTCAGTGTTCCCTGAACACGAGAAGACTTCAGAATACGCCTGCCATGCTTCATGCATTTGACTGGCAAGCTGGACGGTGTGACTACCATCTCCCCACCGAATACACTGCTGCATTCAGACTCTGTAGCAGAGAAGAGATTCGGCTTGCATTTCTCCTCGTGCATGATTTAGGCATTAGAGCCGTGGCTTGGCAAGCCACGCAGCACAGGGCTGCGGCGGGCTGGGGGAAGTGTCCTCTGTCACAGCGTATTTCTTTCCCAAGTTCACGTATCACCTTTCATCAGTCACAACTCAAGACCTATTCATCAAAAAACAGACAAAATAGCCCTTAGAAAAGAGAAAAAGTCTGGAGGGAATGGCTTTCCTGTACTGCAGACTACAAATTGTTACATTTCAGCCACAAATGCTCTTTGTCCAGCCCAAAAGCTTTAGCTAGGACTATCTTGACCCTTGGAAAATTAAATTATGACAGAAGCAAATAGAGATTGAGGTATCATTAATGCCCAAGGTAAAGGTGGGAAAATAAGTCAGCAAATTTTGTCCCAGTGATCCTGGCTAGTGACCCTAAATCCCTCCCACGTGCCAGGAACAGAAGAATCTTCCCTATTAATCCTATTTCCTTATCCAGCCTCCCCAGAAGCAAGCTGGTAAGCATGCAGAAAGATATGTTATTCGACAGATCTGGAAGTCAGGAACCCCTTGGGCCACAGCCAAGATCAGTGTCTCGATGCTGCATTTACATAATAAAAAAGTTAATGTATTGTTATAGAATTATTATATATTATTTGTTTACATATATATTAAAAAATAA